CTTTTTCTCCCGTCTCGCCCATTAAAGGACCTGAAAAGGAAAATAGTGACTCACCAATACTGATGTGTTAAATATTTAACTCCTTCAATGAACAACAAATGATAACGTCTTATTCCATCTAGGGAGAGTAATATGAACATGTATTGTTGTTATATTACACGTGTCAACAACGAGAGAGTGGAAACATTATGTTGTGGTTCAGTCAGCGGCATCTAGAATGTTGTTGCGCTTTTCTTTCTGATAACACGGTACCAGTGCCGAATGACTCAGAAACCCAACAGGATAGTTTTCTTTATCCTGCAGGGTTTGTTTTTTTTACCATGTGATTGCGCAGTCCACAATGATTGTACATTATCATTATTACATTACGCATTATATGTATATTTATTTAAAAATAAAACTCAAGTGATTTCAATGCTGACTTTCCCCCCCAAAAAAGAAAAGAAAAGAAACAAAATAATTTCAGCTCCTGCTAGCTTGACCGCGACTTTGCTCATGTAACCTACACTTTGAGCGGAACCTCACGCGGGGACGACGTTGCTAACCGTAGTTATTTTTGCGTCGGACCGCGGGCACAACGCTGCAAAATCAGACTCCTGTAGTTTGTAGTTCACACATTCTTCAAGTTTTTCTTTAGAAGACGAAAATAAATTGAGGTAGTTGAAGTTGTAATGGTGTTAAACACTACTGCGTGAGGCCGTTTAATGTCCTGTACTTTGGCTTGACTTTAAAAAAAGACTCTTAAACACAACATATTAAGCGGAAAACAGCCTCTCTGTGGCCGCTTGTTCGAATGTCCTGCACGCTGGTTGGCGCCTCTGGAGCTCGGATCCCCCTGGAAGATGGACGGGCTGTGATTCTGGGCCGGGGTCCGGACACTGGTGTCACAGATAAGAAGTGCTCCAGACATCAGGGTGAGGCGTCCTGCTTATGTGCCACATTCATCGCGAGACACTCTAGATTTAAATCTGCGAAGCTGTTAGTGCTCGTGCTCTGCTGAAGCTTAACTTTATAACAAACCACCCTAAAGCTGTAAATTACTTTACAGTGTACAACGCAAGGAAATACTGCTAATGTGGCTGTAAGCTTTAATTCATTCATGTATTTATGTGAGAAAGTAAATCAGTGGAGCTGACTGAGTTTTGTGTTTTGAGTGTCTTGCATTCACTCTACAAGTCACTAACAGGGATTTAAACTCATCATGACTGAACTTTGGTTACAATTTTACATACAGATATATGTACTTATTAAGTGAGGAGCTTAAAATTTGCATCCACGGGGAGTCAAATAGAGCAAGAAAAAGAACCAGGCTGGTACTTTTTTTCTCCCTGAAAATCAGTAGGTATGTATATAAATGTTTTAGTGGTTAGGGGCCAGATGTGCCCTTCAATAGTTTCTTGGGAATCACCATATTGGTGCAAACATACAGTTTTCTGCCTGGCAGACTGAGTTATCTTTGATATTTCTCATAGGTTCCATTAAAGAAATGGCAACAAATGACTGTGTTCTTGCAACACAGTTTGGAATTGGTTCTTTAACTTTTATTTAAAGACACAACACTACTTCCTTCCTTGAATTAGATATAGTTTAATGCTAAATGATTTATAAGTCAGTGTTAAGTGGCCTAACAAAAAAACCTAAATAAAACAAAATAAAATAAATTTTTCTGAAAACGTTCAGTTACAAGGAGTGGATTGAAAATGAGTGAAAAGGCAGCTAATGTCCAAAGAAAACTTTGAAGACCTTGAGTAATCCAGGAGAACTATTACTCAAGACTTATTTAAAAAAAACAAGTCTGTTAAAGTATAAAGACAACATGGGTGGCTCAAGACTTTTTTTGCATAGTACTGTATGTAATGGCACATGGTAATTTTCAAAATTAGCCGAGGCATTTGTTTTATGCATTTAGTTTTCATATTGCAAAATAAAAAAGACTGCATTTAAATGGCAAATCTGCATTAAAATGAGTTAGAGAGTTGTTGTTTTGTCTTGTTTTAGTTTTTTTGGTCCCGGCTCTAGATGTGTATACATACGAAGTGTGTGTGTGTCTTTTTATTTATTACAGTGAAGGTGGTGGCTTGCTTTGCAGACCAGGATGTTGTTGTTACACAGGTATGAAGAACAAACACTGGGTGCCTCCACAGTAGAATAACGACCCTGCCTATTAAACTAGAGCACACTCCTTTCAACATCAGCGTGAATTAATATTTAACCCCAAGCAATTACACCTGATCCACCCGCAACCGGCGTGTCATTATGTTCAAAGCTGATGTCAGCACACTGTCCTCTTTGTCCACTCTTGTTACCTCACAGCTCATGTGCTAACTGTAACTGCTACAGTCCAATGTCCATTTCTCCACAGCTGGGTCCCAACCCCAGTTCCCTGGATGGTGAGAAGCTGGGCCGGGGTCAGTCTGGTAAACTCAGCCACGGAGGTACTCTCTACCTAGTTAACCAGAGCCACCCATTCACACTGAACTACTCTCTGAGCTCCAATGGGATCACCTCCAGCACGGCACAGAGAGGGCTGAAAGCAGCAGATAAGACAAAAGGAGGGACGAGTTCAAAAGAAAAAGAGGCACAGTCCAGTCCCACACCCAAACGCAACATAAAGGATTTCTTCCCCAGCTCTCCCATGAAGGTAAACCTCTGTGATGTATTGATTCATGGATCTAGCTGTCTACAAGCATATGTATATGTATAAAGAGGAGCCAGAATGAGAGAAATTGCTGTTTTGTTCCTTGTTATTTAGTCATCTAAAAGGCAACTGAGCCCAAAGAAAGAGCAACCTGAGGTGAAGCGCCAAAGAATAGAGGAGGAAGCTTCTGATTGGCAGATGAAAGAGGAGGAGGAGGAGGATGAGGAGGAGAGACTGGCTGGCGAACGGCTTAAGTACCTTCAGGAATTTGCCAAAAAGTCCCTGACAGAGGAGAGCAGCAGCAACCAGCCGTCATCGTCTTCAAAACCAATTCTAAAGAGCAGCTGGCAGCAGTTTGGCAGCTTAATGGTTTACACAGCTGCTGGTGTCAAAGGGAGCGACAAGGTGGGAGTGATTCATTCAGATGATCAGCAGATATTGAGTCTTTATCTACAGCAGGCAGTGTTTTATATAACGTTCAAATGAGTGAAAGACCTAAAAACTCTGCAGCATATCATGTTCAGCTCTTCTCAGTAAATTAATCAGCAACTCTTTTTGTTATTGTGTGAACTGGGATCCAAAAGGTCAGAAAATTAATTAATTATTACATCATAATAAAAAAGCCTTACCTGATTAAAATCACAGCCATTTACCCCTTCAAGATCATCTTCTCAGGCTCCTCTGGAGGTCTTTCATCACAGCTGCTTCTTTTTTTACATTTCTCAGTGGAATTCGCATCCTGTCCCCTTTGATTTGTGTCTGTCCAGTGACTGCTGGATTACCTCCAGTGTGTCACATGGATTCAAATATGCTGTGTGGGGTGAACAGTGGGCAGAGATTTTGGTATTGAGGTCTGGGTGCAGGGAGGAGGGGAACGGGGCTGGTCTCGCTGTGTGAAAGGCCCGGCTGCCATCACCAGCGATGATCCTTCATGTGAAATTTGGGTCAGTTTGTCAGAGGAGTCGGTGCTTGCTGCCTGTACGAGTTTAAGGTTTGTTTGAACTGCAGAGCT